GTCGCCAACGCATTAGTTTTGTAGTGATAAATAATACCTCACTGGTCATCCCGTTAACGCATGGGTCACCACGGGAACGCATGGGTCATCATGGGAACTCATGGGTCACCACGTTAACTCATGGGTCATCACGGGAACTCATGGGTCATCATGGGAACTCATGGGTCATCACGGGAACTCATGGGTCATCACGTTAACTCATGGGTCATCATGGGAACTCATGGGTCATCACGGGAACTCATGGGTCATCACGTTAACTCATGGGTCATCATGGGAACTCATGGGTCATCATGGGAACTCATGGGTCATCACGGGAACTCATGGGTCATCACGTTAACTCATGGGTCATCATGGGAACTCATGGGTCATCACGGGAACTCATGGATCATCACGTTAACTCTCGTCAACGGGACGTTAGGTCCCGTGAAAAAGACGTGATGTAGCCGTGTCCACTGTGCTTACAGTCACACTCAAATAGATCTAATACTTAACATTTTGCAAACGCCTTGAATTAGTTGGATTCGGTAAATATAATAAGGAAAAAAGTGAATTCACATAGATGTAGTTTGCCAAAAAATAAAACAAAACAAACCAAAACTACCAAAACCAAAACAAAATAAAGAAAGAAAAAAAACGTTATACAGTGGCCAATTAATTACAAAAGCAATTCGTGACTATGGTGAAGATAATGAAGACCACTCTGATTAAGAAGGCGTGTTACACATAGCGACACGTTTCTGACACTTCAAGTCTCGATACAACGAACTGATCGACATCTGTGGTGTAATCGTTAGGCTTTTCGCCCTTGCATTTCGTTTAATGAAAGTGCTTTTACGCTTCTTTCAACACAATTTAGATTATATAAAAAGCGGGCTTCCAACCGTGCCTGCCAGGACCCACCCAGGCTGAGACGGATTTAATATCCCTGCAGAAAGATCGAGATAATCGATAAAAATGCTCCTTGATTGGGAATCAGATTGGAGTTTTCTGCATGTGACAGAAAACAGCCTAACCGCTACACCACAGACGCCGATTCGCCGTTGCATGCAGAAGACATCACTTCGATTCCCTTGTGGGGAACATTATTTATGTCTAGCTAGCATCTCCTGAATCACGTGGGATTTACGAGAGTATCCTCGGAGAGAAGTGAATCACAAACAGTCGTTGTCCGTTCGATCTCTAGCGGACAGACAAGGTTAGTGTTTGTTTTGTTTGTTTGTTTAGTATAGGGTTTTACGGCGCTCGCAACTGCATAAGGTCATTTGAGCGCGCGGGACACACCTAATACTTTTTCTTTGGTAGGAAATTTTGAATTTTGCCCGGGTGGCGGCCGAAGCCTACTCTTATCGATTTTAGACCAC